CCAGGCACTGATAAAGGATGATCCGCAAGATTGATGGTTCAGTGGAAAAATCAAGGTGCTAATGGGACAGTATGTGATCACTTGTGATGTATGTGTGGCATGCACTTGTGTGTCTGGTTTTGTATGTTAGAAATGTTTTTAAGGTGCTAATGGGACAGTATGTGATCACTTGTGATGTATGTGTGGCATGCACTTGTGTGTCTGGTTTTGTATGTTAGAAATGTTTTATCTTCAAGTAAAAGAAAATCCAACCTAACATGAGGCCAACAAACAGGGGTTTATTTTTCTCCCTGAGACTCCAGAGGCAGTGGCCCCAGTCCTGACTCAGCTGCCCAACTTATGCCATTGCCATCTTAGGTTCTTCCATTCTGCTCTCTCTGAATGGAGAATTAGTCTTGCTGCCTCCTATTTGCAAGATGGCTGACTCATCTCCAAACATGATGGCAATGCAATGTTCAAATTAAGAAGAAAGGGGAAGTGCAAAAAGGTGATTGGTCCTACATGTTACTGAAAGCAAAAATGCTTCTGATTGTACCACTCAGCAAGTGTTTCTTGTATCTCATTGGCCAGAATGGAGTCACATGACTGTTTCCTAGCTGCAAGGAGGCTGGGAACAGAGCATTTTAACTTCCAGGACTCTGCAATAGAGAAAGGCAAAGGAGAATAGGTCAAGAATGAGTGGTAGGGCTGGGTGCATGGTGGCCATGCCTATAATCCCAGCACTTTGGGAAGCTGAGGGGGTAGTGATTACTGGAGCCCAAGAGTTCAGACTAGCCTGGCAACAAGGTGAAACCCTATCCTGGAAAAAAAAAAAAAAAAAAAGAGTGGTAGGTGACTCACTTACTACATTGGTCATACTTAGAAAGTTCTGGCAAAAAGACACATATGAAATTGGTAACTGGAGTCTTCGCCACAAGCCTGGCCAAAATGGTTAAACTCCACTTACTAAAAATACAAATTTCGGTATGGTTGTGGGTGCCTGTAATCCCAGCAACTCTGGAGGCTGAGGTAGGAGAGCTGCTTGAACCCAGGAGGCAGAGATTGCAGTGAGTTGAGATCGTGCCATTGCACTCCAGCCTGGTCAATGTCAGAGTGAGACTTCGTCTCAAAAAAAAAGAAAAAAGAAATTAAAGTAATCACACCTGTATCCCATCACACACACACGCAAACACACTTCCCAAAGCCCCAGCACAGCAGTATTCACAGCACCCATATCCCAGACCTGTGGGGAACAGATAATCCACAGGATAGGATATGTCTGTTGTTCCAGAAAATGAGAGGTTAAGGGAAAGTGGTCCCACCCATTTGATGAAGCTCTGAGACAGCTCAAAATGGGAACACAAGTAAATTGCAACCCAGTTTTATAAAAATCTTGAAGTATCAACTAACCAAAATCCAACAGAATACCACAAGGTCACATAAAGTTTATCTCAGGAATACTGTGAAGGGTTCCAAAATCAGAAATGTTAATACAGAAATTCACCAGGTTCAAGAAGAAAAGTAAAGTCCTCATGGGGCTGGGCGTGGTGGTGCCCGGCTGCCTGCCAGGTCTTGGCTACTTGAGGCTGAAGGATGTGGGAGGATCACTTGAGCCCAACAGGTCGAGGCTGCAGTGAGCCGAGATCATACCACTGCCCTCAGCCTGGGCAAGCAACACAGTGAGACCTTGTCTCAAAAAAAAATTGTAATCATTATATAGATGTAGAATATGGCATTTGATAACATTTACTATACCCATGATTTAAAAAGATTTTTAAAAGCAGAGAATAAGAACAAGATATTTTCTCTCATGACTGTCTCTTTTCTTTTTTCTCACACCGCGGGTCAACACAGGGAGACTGCCCGCGACTCTAAGGTTAGAGGCACTGGGTGGCTGCTGTCAGTTACTCTTCCATATCATCCTGGAAGTCCTGGCCAATGCAACAAGACAGGAAAAAGAACGTGGGCTTCCGAGGAGCAATGCCCAAGTGGGGAGGCAAAAGTCATGTTACTGTGTCTTTCATGATAACGTGATTGTTTAATGTTGAATTTCCCAAATAACCAACAGTTAACTGTTAGCACTAATCAGAGGTCAACAAGGGGGCCCAATATAAAGAAGTCAATAGCATTCTTTAAAGCCAGTAAAAATAAATAAATAAATAAATAAATAAATAAATAAATAAATAACAGGGAAGAGCTTATTTTCCGAAAGAACAAAAATTATAAAATATTCAACAATTAACCTTGAAATCCACCTATCTTTATGGGGACCAAAAACAAAAAAACAAACAAAAACAAACAAAAACAAACAAACAACAAAAATAAACCAAGCAATCTGAAATCTCTTTCCAGGCCATGTCAGAAGACTGGGCGAGAGGGTGCCATTCAGCCCCGTGTGGAGAGGCCTGGCGGGAAGTGCCCACTGTTGCTGTGGCTGTGCTTGCCAGGTTCCAGTGCCCACATTCCTGCAGCTTTGGAGGCCTGGGGGAGACTCTGGGCTGTGGCAGGTGTCATGGCCCCTCTGTGCCTGCCTTGAACCTCAGCTGGCCCAGTGCTTTGAGCTGCCCCGGCCCCCTCTGCCCTCCCCATAAGCAATGCTGGGACCTGGCTTTCCCATGGCGGCCCCTCCCCTGCTGGGCTATGTGGCTCAGGGACAGGACGCCCTGGCCCCTCGGCCCTACAGCTCAGTCACAGGTCAGTGGGCCGTGCTGGTGCTCTCTGTTCAGACCTCCAGGGCCTGAGCTCCTGAGATGCCAGGTGCTGACCAGGCCTGTCTGGGATCTTCCCAGCCACCAGGTTGGGATGCCAGGGCGTGCTGGAGCCTGCCCGCCCAATGCCTGGCTCAGCCAAGCTGCTTCAGGTAGGGGTGTGTGTGTGTGTGTGTGTGTGTGTGTGTGTGTGTGTGGTGTGTGTTGTAGAGGCAGGGGGACAGGGGTTGGACCTGCAGGGAATGGAGTCGGCTCCCTGAGCCTGGAGAGCAGCTTGAGCTTCTGGAAGGACTTGGAGGGGATGGGCCCAGGGCTCCTCCCTTCTGTTTAGTCACTTGGGCTTTGGATGTGCTGTGTGACACTAAGTCAGTGACTTCACCTCTCTGGGAGGCTGCATCCCAGACAGGGGCTGAGCATCTCATTCTGCAGGCTCTTGGTGAGGGCTCTCCTTGTTGTGGTTTGGGGAAACACAGTATTTGACTCCAGCTTGGGGCTGGAATGGCAGGGCCCTGAAACCCAGCCAGGGAAGGCCAGAGAGGCAAGGGCTTCTCAGCTGATGCAGACACAGGTCAGGTCAGGGGCACAAAGGAGGGTGTAGAGCTGGGTGGGACTCAGAAGGAGGGCAGTGGCAGGACAGGGTTTGTAGAAGCAGCAACACCTGAGTTTCAGTATGGGGGACAGAACCTGGGTAGGGGGCCCTGTAAATAGCCAGACATAGCCTGGTGGGTGTGGGCTCTATTGAGGTTGTGGCCACAACAAGAACTTGGGTTTGATCTTGCAGGTACTGGGGAGCTATGGTGTGCTTTAGAGCACAGGAGGGGGCATGTCAGATGTGTGTTTGAGATGCTGTCTTGGCAGCCAGGATGGAGACGAGGTGAGTTGGGGAGCTGGGAATGGGACAGGTGAGGAGGGGTCAGCACTGGAGTAGGGCCCGGCAGTGCTCAGAGTAGATAGAGGTTTAGGAGGTTGAACTGATCAGGCAGGGAGTGAAAGAGGTGGTTCCCAAGCCTGAACTGCCAGGGGAGGGGTGCCTCTGAGAGATGGAGGTCTCAGGCCACTGGAGACCCGCATCACACTTTGGAGAAGAGCCAGGGCTGGAGACAGAGGCATGTACAAGGTGGCATCACTGCCCTGCTCCCGGGATGGGGAGACCAAGGCTGGGGAAGGGGCTTAGGGATTGGCAGGATCTCTAGCACAGAGAAGGTGACCAAGCTGTGGGCATGATGAGTGTCCAGGAGGAAAGATCAGATCCCAGGTGAGGGAAGAGGGCTCAGGGAGAGGGTGAATTGTGGGCAGAGAAGAAAGAAAAACCTCCCTGGGGCATCTGTGGGACAGGAGCCAGGTGGGGTGTGGCCCCGGGGATGGGGGTGGTGCACGCACCCTCACAGGGTTGGCCTGGTGGGCCAGGGCCAGGTTGCATGGACTGAGAGAAGCTGACAGCCCTGTCTGTGACCTCTGGGACCCCTGGGTCTGCCTCTGTGGGCCCCTAATCCTGGGCTCACAGACCCACCAGCCTCCATGGGTGCTGGCCTATGCCTGGTGGGCACGGTTGGTGCAGGCTCCAAGGGGGCCTGGCAAAGCCTGGAGCTGGCTCAGGGGAGGCCACTCCTGGCCAGGGAGTCTCCTGACCCCCACCTTGGAGGGATGTATCAGCCCCGGTGAGGCTTCTCAGACTCATTCTGGAGTTTCTCAAGGGTGTGAGATCAGTTTGGCCGAGAAGGGCACCCTGAATGTGAGACTGCTTGTCAGGAAGCGCTGCCAGGCCCAGTGAGATGTGGAGATTCAGCAGGGAACACCTGGCCTGAGTGGGCAGTCCTGGAGGAAGACAAATTACACCCTTCCCCTGATTCCTCAAGGACTAGGCATGGTCCTGCTATGCGGGAGGTGCCTTTCTGTGCAGCTGAGGCTATAAAATCTGGAAGGGCCTGGCCCAAAGTCACGAAGTTACTGCAGATCAGGGCCAGGGGCCGAGCCTGCACCTTCCTTCCACCCCAATGCTAGGTGAAGTGTTCAATGTCTGTTTAAATCTGTAGAAAAGGGTGAACTGGAGAGCTGAAGATTTACCAAACTTCTGGCAGTTAAGTCCCTGGGAAACAGCACCAAAAGAGATAATAAAGGAACCAAAAGAAGAAACCACACAGGAGCAGATGGAGGCACCAACTGCACAAAGAATGGTGACTGCATGCAGGCAAGATGCACACAGCAGGTGGGAAACTTCTGTAACAAGTATGTCCACGGGCAGATCACCTTTACCTGTGAGGAGTTTGCGTGCATGAGGGCAACCTCGCAGCAGCGACACCCACCACAGAATGCTGATGGCTCAAACCCGGCGGAAGTTTATTTAGGGCACGGAAAGCCAGAAACAAGGGCTTGACTGGCGGCAGCTCTGCAGCAGGGGGAGATTTGGACAGCAAAGGACGTCCTGGAGGAAGTCCCAAGGTCCTCACTTCGCTCTGTAGGCCACCCTTGGTGTGGACAACAGCTGCAGACAGGAGACACGGAGGGGGCACACAGAGGTCTTAGAGTCTGGCCTCAGATGATGTCCATCACACCTCTTTCTGTTGGTGAGAGCTAGTTACTCGGGCCCCCAGGGTGTAAGGCCGAGATGGCATGGCATGCAGACCACCTAGTAGGATCTTCTTGCCAGCTCAGGGGACAATGCACACATGGAGAAGTGCAGTTGGTTACTAGGCATCTGGGAAAATGCACATACTCTCTCTTTTTCAAAGAAATTCAGGTTCCAAAACCAAACACCATTAGAAAATAGACACCCGTCAACACAATCAAGATTAGAAGGTCTATGGTGAGACCACTGATGGAGCATGAAGCTGGCCAAACTCTGGAGAGTGGTTGATGTTACGTATCAAGAATCCAAAATGCGGCAAGGCGTAGTGGCTCACGCCTGTAATCCCAGCACTTTGGGAGGCCAAGGCGGGTGGATCACATGAGGCCAGGAGTTTGAGACCAGCCTGGCCAACATGGCGAAACCCTGCCTCTACTAAAAATACAAAAATTAGCCGGGTGTGGTGGTGCACACCTGTAGTCCTAGCTACTCAGGAGGCTGAGGCATGAGAATCACTTGGTCTTGAGTGATTGCAGTGAGCAGAGATTGCACCACTGCACTACAGCCGGGGTGACAGAGTGAAGTGAGTCTCTAAATAAATAAATAAATAAATAAATAAATAAATCTGAAATTCTAGAAATCTGTTTAATGACTCAAGATGTTACCTTTCCAAAGCTCGAATCTGGCCCTGTCACTCCTCTGCTCAAACATCTCCAATGGCTCCCCACTGCTATCCTGACCTCCTTACAGTCCAGGCCCCTCCCTCCAGCCTCATCTTCTATGCTGAGGAGCACCGTCCTGACCAGTGCCCAACCTGGACCTGGGGCACAGACAGGTCGGCACATGTAAGCTGACCTGAGCTTTGGGAAATGAGGAGGCCAGGCGCTGGGAGTGGTGGCCTTGCTCCAGGCTGAGCTGAAACAGCTGGCATCTCAGCCTGCCCTCCACCTGATCCCCGGGCCCAGCCTTCCCTAGTGGGCCATGACCTTCCCACCAGGGCCCTCGGCCCTGCTCCTGCTGGCCCCTGCAGACCTCAGCAGAGTCCAAGCTCCTGGAGGGCAGGGAGGGTGAGCGTCTCCTGTGTCCCCAGCGCACAGCTGCACCAGCTCCCGGTAAGGATTTGTTACAGGAATGAATGGGGTGGGGGTTGGAGGAGATGGAGGAAGGCCCTGACGCTGGCTCCTGGCGCACCCTCCAGGCCCTCTCGATCACGGCTCCGCGGCTCCGGCTCTGGCCCCACCCCAGCCTCCCCCGCCCTGCCGGGAACCTGGGGCCTCAACGACCACGCAAGCCGCCCACACCTCCGCGGCTCCGCGCTCTCCTCTGGCTCCCCTAGCCTAGCCTGGACCCTCCGCTCTCCAGGGCTCAGCAGCGACCCCGATCGGTCACTCGCTATGGCCACCGCCGCGGCAGCCACCTGCCCCGGGACGCCCAACCAACCCCTCGGGGGACCAAGCCCGGGGACTTCGTCCCCAACCCCAGGCCAGCTAAGCCACCCCACAGGGGCCCTGCCTGTCCCATCTGCAGCCTGCTGGGGTGTCCATGCTTGCGGTGATGAGGAGGGTGGCACGGCCCTCGGATTACAGCCGGCGGAGGGGCTTCCCAAAAGAGTTCTCAGCCTCTCCAGCGCCTGCGGCGGCGCAGCCCAGGCGGGGCTCGGCTCTCAGAATTCCCTCGCGGCCTCGCCAGGTATGCGCGCGGTGCCCGGGGCGCGGGCCGGGGGCGGGTGCTGGAGCCGGGCCGGTGCTGGGCCCGCTGCGACACGCTCCGGGACGCGGCGCACAAAGGCGCCTTCTGCCGACCCCGCCCCGCACTGCCCCCGTCCAGCCTGGCGGCCCGCCCCTCCAGCCCCGGCAGGCGGTGAGGGGGGGTGAGGGTCCCCGCCTCCCGGCCCGCCATCCCCCTCCCGGGCGACGTGCCCTGTCGGGCGGCGCGCAGGCGTGGGCTTGTCCCACCGCGCAGGAATCCGCAGCCGCCGCGCGCGTTTCCGGCCCCAGCCGCGCCCGTGGTGCAGGGGAGCCGGTGCGCAGCCGCGTGTTGGGCCTCCGACCCCGGTGGCCCCAGTCATAGTCACTTTCTCCACCCGCGAAGGCTTTGCTCAGGAATCCACTCTTGCAGCCAGGGAGCTTCCGGGCCCCCTCCTCCAGGAAGCGTCCCTGGCTGCTCCGGTGAGCACATGTCTCCTCATCCCCCTGTCTGGGCACCTTGAGAACCCAGCCTGGCCACTCCCCTCTCCTATGTCTGCATAGGAAGACGCCCCATTGGAAACGGACCCCCCTCCCGCCGCCAGACCCTGGCAATCCCATGTCCAGGCTGGGGCTGGGGTTGGGAGTAAGGACCCACCAGGAAGGAGGGTGCCCACCGGGTCAAGTGGGCAGTAGAACAGGGCTGGGTCCCATGGATCCCCACAAGCCCAGTGGCTCCGTGGCTCTGTGGCTCTGCCCGGCAAAGGCTGGGCCGCCCTGCAGCCGGCGCCCACCTTTAGCGCTTTCTCCCTAAGCCCATATGTGGCAGAGGGGGTGGAGCCAGTCCCAGGCCCACCGGGCACCACGGGCCTCTGGGAGGGGACGCTAATGACTGTAATTTCCACTTAGCAGATCAGGAAGGCTGGCAGAGTGGAACTGTCCTCCTACCTCTCAGGTGCCCGGGCGAGACCCTTCCGTGGGCCCCCCTATCTGGACACCTGGCCCTGGGCCCCTCCCACGTGGGATTTTGAGGCTACTCTCCCCTCCCCCCAGGCTCAGAGGGTGGCCCTGTTTCCTGTGGGACCCCTTGTCGCCTTGTCCACTGGTTGGGGTGCTCAGTGGTGCTTGAACAGGGGTCGGGGACGCATGAAGGTGTACTGAGTGGGTAGCTGTCAGCCGGCTCCAGAGGCTGGGGGAGCAGGAAACAAGCACGTTATAGGGTTGAGGGTTCTGAGCCGCGTGCCAGGCTGCAGCCTGTGCTGGCTCCTTTGCGGTCAGAAGCCCAGGGCATTCTGGGGTCTGTCTTGATGCTGAGCAGGCCAGTGTCCTGAACAACACCAGGCACCCAGGAGTCTCTGGGGGGGGCAGTTGTGGCTGCCGAATGGGGGGTGCTAGGGCAGGAGGGTGAGCATGTGAGGCCAGGCTGGCAGAGAGGAGCTGGGACTCTGTGCCCTGGGGCAGATTGGGGAGGTGAGGGAAGGGGCTGCTGTGGCCATCACAGGTTGAAGGTGAGGACTGGGCCATTGCCCAGTGCTGGTCTTCTCTGCCTGATTAGTCTGGGCAGCAGGCCCTGTGCCCAGCTGGTAAGAGGCTAGGCAGGAGCTTCTGGGGCACCTGGGGAGCAGGCCCAGGCCCTGGGAGCTGGGGTTCCTGTGCTGAGGGGGTCAGCTCTGTCTCACCTGGGCCTGCCTCCTGGCCTCCCCTGTGGCCTGGCTGGCAGGGCCTGGGTGTGGCCTGGCTCCCTGGAGCTGGCAAGGATCAAAGGGTTGAAAGCCGTCCTCCACCCCCGCCCACTGAGACAGGAATCCGTGGCCCCAGGGGACAGAATCCACAGCCACATTCCCAGTGCCCTAGTCCCCGCAAGGCAAGGGTGGGGCAGGGCTGGGGTGCCAAGATTGGCACCATAAAGCATGGGAACGTGGTGCTGCTGGCACCCAGCCCACTGCCTGAGCAGAGTGGGCGGCACCCTCCTCTCGGCCCAGTTGTGGCCTTTGCCCCTTCTGACCTGCCCTAATGGCCTCAGGCACCAGGCCTCAGTTGCCAAATGGGTTTCCACCTTGCCAGGAGGTGGGAGTTTCATCCTGGTGGCCCAGGAGGCCTGGGGGTTCTGAGGAGGTTGGAGCCTGGGTCTCTGTGGCTCAAAGCAGTGGGCATTCCCGACCCCCAGGGCACTCTGGGCTGGGGGACTCGGCCTCCATCTGGGGCCAGTGGGGGCCACAGGAGGGAGAGGGTGTTGATAGCTGGGGCATCCCTACCAGGGGTCACACTGAGCCCAGGCCCCTGGCACACACAGATGTGCTCACACACGCACACAGCAGAAAGCGGAAAGGCAGCCTCTCAAAGGCAGCCTCGCCTCTTCTGGCCACAGCCCAAAAGCCTCAAGAGGGTTTGTCCCTAGCTGGCTGGTGCTGGACTGAGTTGGCCCTGTGGACCCCCACCCATGGGTACAGGGTCACCTGCTGGTGGAGACAGCAGCCTTTAGGCGCCTGTGCTGGGTGGGGTGGGTCCCTGCTCCCGGGGGCTGGAGACCAGCCTGCTGGAGCCGGGCCCCAAGCTCTGTCCTGTAGTCCCATGCTCAGCCCCAGCAGTGATGCCTTCCCACGCCCACTGTACAGGTGTGAGACGGAGGCCCAGAGAGGCCAGAGGACTTTCCCAAAGCCACCCAGCAAGTTGGTGGGCTTGGAGAAACCCTGGAGACCCAGACCTCCCACTCCCAAGAGCCAGGGCCAGTGGCATCCCCCTCTCTGGCCTGTTTCCTCACCTGAAGAGTGGGCCCACAGTGACCACCTGGCCGGGTTGTCCTGAAGCCCGGAAGGTACCAGCCAGGGGTCAGTTAACCTCTTCTGTCCCCAGTCCCTGGGCTCCCAGATAAGCAGCACTGCTGTGTCCTGAGCCCGCATCTGAGGCAGGGCGCCCCCTGGTGGTTCGACAGTGCCTTTCTGTGCCCTTGGATGATAGGACCCGAAGGAGGAGAAGGTAAGGGAGAGGACAAGCCTGGAGCAGGCGCTAGGAGGGCTGCAGGCCAGGACAGAGGGGCTGCTGGCTTGGAGCAATGCCCCTGGGGCTGGTCCATGCATGAAGGGCCTGGGGAGGACATTGGTCCCACCAGGAGGCTGCAAGTCAGGACCTTGGAAGGGTTCCTGTGGGCAGTTGAAGGCCATTAGGGCCCAAGGATACCGTCCCCTGGAGGATGGCAGTAGGGGAAGCAGGACTGGTGCACCACACACTGCCCACTGCTGGGGTCAGGAGTGTGGGCAGCCAGGCTTGGGGGAGCGAAGGCCAGTCCCAAGGTGTCCGTGTGTTGGCCAGCGAGCCCATCCCCCTTCAGACCTACACCCTGGGTGCCTCTAGAGGCCTTTCCATGATGCTCAAAGGCCCACACTACTTGACCCTGATCATCCCAGTGGCAGCCATCCAGGCATCAGGCCAGGTCTGGCACTGGACAGCCATGGGGCTTGTTTGCTGGGGATGTGAATGAATGAATGAATGAATGAATGAGGAGCCTCTCGGGGTTGCTGTCCATCCTGGCCCCCAGCTTGCCTCCCACAGCATGGGGGTCCTTGTCAGTTAGCAGGCTGTGATGGGCAGGTGCTGAGGAACCTGGGGGAGGAGCGACAAGGCTAGGGGTGGGTGGGGGCCCTGGCTCACCCATCCCAGCCCCTGACACCAGGGGAGGGAGCATCCCTAGCCTTCGGAAGCCGTGCAAGGCGGAGGCCATACGGGGATGTGGTGGGGTGGGCCAGCCCATGGGACCCCTCTGGGCTATGGGTCTGGGTGGGAAGCGGTCTGCCCGATCTCTGGGCACAGGGTGAAGGGACACGTCTCAGTTCATAAGTTTGTGGTCCCCTGGTCCATCTCCTACCCTGCTGTGAGGGCAGTGGGTTCAGGGGGGATCTGGGAAGCAGGCTTCAGCCTGCTCAGGGAGGGGCAGCTGGGCCCCCACCCACCCAGGAGCTTGCCAGCAACCTGGGCAGGGAGGCTCGCGCCCTGGAACTCCTGGTTCTGCAGCGAGAGTCCCTGCAGACCTGGCCCCCCCAGTGTGTCTGCACAGCAGGACCCCAGCTCCCTGGACTGTCAGTCCTTAAGGCTTCTTCAGAGTGCCCCAGCCTGAGTGCCCGGCACCGTCAGGGGTGGGGGGTTCCCTGGGGTTGGCTGATGTGACTGGCCCCCCTTTCTGGGCTCTCCTGTCACCTGAGCTGGGGGACTTCTTGGCCTGGAGGGTGAGCCCGGGACCATCTGCTCTCAGGGCACAGGCCTGCCCTTGCAGAGCACTGAGCCGGCCACACTCCCTCTAGCCCCCAGATGGCAAAGCACTCCTTGGCAAGGGCTGATGAGGGGACAAGCTGGGCCAGCCAAACCTGGGGGCCCAGGGGCTGGCATCTGCGACCTCCAGGCCCAATGTCCCCTGGGGCTGGCATCTGCGACCTCCACTGTTTACACAACACCACACCCGAGGAGTGGATTGCCCAGAGTATGCGCGGGCACACAATGCTGCCAGCACACACGATGCACACTTGCATGAGCACAGGGTATACACACATGTTCACACAAGCACTCACACACAGGCACACACCTTCGCACATGGAGGGGCACACAGCACACTGCCCTGCATGACATGCACGCCCATTCATACCAGTGTGTATGTGTGAGCCTCCCTGAGTTCCCAGCTGGGCGCCCTCTGCACCTCCAAAACCCAGAGCATGATGATGGAGGACACTGTGCTGGGAGTGGTGGGGGGTGAGGGAGTCGGGTTTGGGGGGTAGATGTGCCTCTGTGGTGTTGGAGCCTCTGGGCCTCAGTTTACCTTCCATGCAATTGTAACAACCATTTACAAGGCACTTTGAATCTCAATGAACCATTCTGAGATGGCCGTTAGCGCCGTTTGCAGAGATAGGGAAACTGAGGCACAGAGCATTTGGTAATGTGCTTAAGGCCCTGGGGCAGGAGCTGGGCAGGGTCTGCCCTGGGCTGTCTCTGGTGGTTGTGGGGTGAGGGGAGTTCACATCTGCCTGGGTCCTGAGCACAGAGGGTGCTCGATGCAAGCTGCCTGGGAGGGGGAGGGACAGGGACAGGGCGGGCTCCAGCAGGAGGAACGAGGTGGGTGTGCGCCCCACCCCCGTCGAGGGAGCCTGTCCTCCCCTCGGCCCCCCTGGTTGGGGCCGGCCAAGAGCGGAAGGGGTCACGGGCCGTGGCCGGCTATCCTGGGAATTCCAGGCGCGTGTGTCAGCGCGCTCGGCTTAGTCCCCGCCCCCAGCCCCCCGCCGGGGCTGGCGGTTTGGCGAAGAAAGCCAGATTCCCGAGGGGGCGGGGGGGCGGCTCCGAGGGTCTGGGATGGGGTTGGGGACCCAGGAACCCCTCTCCTCCGCCCACTCTTCCACTCCCAGAAGAGAGGCCCTGGCAGGAGCGGGTCCCCTCTCCACCTCCTTCTAGAGGGCTCGCCATTTCTCCAGTGAGGGGACTGAGGGAGGGCTTCATGGCCCCGAGTGCCGACATGTGCACCCGAATTCTCAGCACCTCCCTGCCCTGCTGGCAGACAGGCTCGGTGAGGTCCCCAAGGTCAGGAATGACGCTTGTTTCTGCGCAAACCTCTGCCCGAGAACGGGAGGTGTCTGCAACCTGGATACGAATTCCAGTGTGTCTCCACTTTCGAATCTGAAAAGTGGGAACAATAGCAACACCCACCTCGGGGTGATTGTGCAAATAAAAGAGACCAGAGGCGAGGCCAAGGGCGATCTGCCTGGGAAGCGGGCCGGCGCCCCACTAAGACGCGCGTGCGTGCTGGAACCCAGGAAACCCAGCGTGGGGCCAGCTCTCCGGCCCCCGTCAGCTCGCCCCGCGCCAGCGCACCAGCCTGCCTGGGCTAGCTCCAGCCTCTGCGGAGGTTCCTCTGGGCCGCGCAGACGTAGCCTCCCCGCCCGCCCCAGGCCCGTCCCGCCTCTGCTCCGCCAGCGGCCTCGACAAGCCCAGGCGCGCTCCAGCCCGCGGCGGCATGAAGGTGGGCACGGATGCCACCGCCGCGAGGCTGCCCGCCTGCCCGGAGCCTGCCCCGCCGGGCGAGAAGGGCCAGGGAGGCTCTTGGCCGGGGGGCGGAGATTGAAGGATATGATGTGGGCAGGAATGCTCCGGGTGGTTCCGGGCCTGGGTGGAGGGGACAGGGAACTCGGGACCGAGGGGTGGGGAGCAGTGAGGCTCGGGGGTTCTAGACCAGGGAGGGAACTGGGGAAGAGAATCCTGGGAATCGCTAGGGGATAGGGGTTTTTCTGGACCGCGGAGGCCACGCAAATCCTCCAGGCCCCAAGGGCGGGCGCCCCATTTCTCCCTGCCCTCGTGGGCCCAGCACGCCCATTTCCCTCGACCTCCCGGCGCCAGGTCTGCAGTGCATCTGATGGTGGGGAGGAGATTGGCCGAGAGAGCCGTGTCTGAGGACGGCGCGCTGAGAGTCCCCGCGCAGAGCCGACTGCAGCCGGGAGAGAAGCGGCCCCGAGCGCTGGAGCCGAGGTTGCGGGTAACAACACCTCCCGGCTGCGGTCTCGACCTCTGCTGCTCACGGCGCACTCTCGGGCGCGGGCGGGGGAACTGGAGGTCGGATGCCCTGGAGCGCGGGCCTGGCGGGCGCAGCGCAGCCGCAGCCACCAGGCGGCAGGGCAGCTCCGGGACCGGCGGGGCTGGGGACGTGGTTGGGGGAGCTGGGAAATACGTGTCAGTTTCTTAGGTCCGCCAGTCTCCTGGCCTGCACAGCCCGTCCCAGGAGCAGCCCGGTAGGGTCGTAAGTGGCACCTAGGCCCTTGCCTGACACCCTCACCTTATCCTGGAGAGACTGTGGCAAGAGAGGGACGGGGAGGCCGCTGTCTCAGAGATACCAGGTGGAAGAAGTTTCTGGTCTGGTCCGCGTGCCTCACCCTGCACCCTGCCTCTGATGGGCTGTGTAACCTTAAGCAACTTTCTCAGGCTCCTTGTGTCTCAATTGCTTCTAAGAAAATGGGAGGTGGGGGTGGGCGCGGTGGTTAACGCCTGTAATCCCAGCACTTTGGGATGCCGAGGCGGGCAGATCACCTGAGGTCAGGAGTTCAAGACTGGCCTGGCCAACATGGTGAAACCCGGTCTCTACAAAAATACAAAAATTAGCCGGGCATGATGGCGGGTCCCTGTAGTCCCAGCTACTCGGGAGGCTGAGGCGGGAGGATCACTTGAACCCAGGAGGTGGAGGTTGCAGTGAGCCGAGATCAGGCCATTGTACCCCAGCCTGGGTGACAGAGTGAGACTCCATCTCAAAAAAAAAAAAGAAAAAAAGAGAGAGAGAGAAAGGAAAGAAAGAGAGGGAGAGACAGAGAAAGAAAGATGAGAGGAAGGACAGTGAGAATACCCAAGCTGCAGGGAATTGTCCCCCAGAGAAACAGGCTGTGGGAAGCTGGTTCTCTCCGGAGAAGAGGAACTGACCACCAGCCTGTTAGAGCAGGGGGGCTGGTAAGCCTGGGGCCCTGCAGGTCAGGCCCAGCCCTCGGGTTTGGAACTGGGCAGTGGGAGTGTACCTCCCCCACCAGGGCCTGGCCACCACCCTAGAGTCCAGTTTAGCTCTTGGGGTGCCATTGAGCATTGCCCAGACACCCTCAACAGCAGCTCCTACCAGCATGGCCTGGCTGGCTGGCTGAGTTGTCCTCCTGCCCCAGGCAATGGAGCTTGGCAGTAATGGGAAATGGGAGGTGACATGGAGGGGATTGGGGATGGAGAAGGCCCAGGACACAGTTGCTGAGGGTCTGCACCTCACTGCATAAACCTGATGGGGGCCAGGTCCAGTGAGAGCAGGGGAGGTCACAGGCCTCTGGTGCCTTGCCCACAAGGGAAACTGAGACAGG